GGACTCTCCACACAAATCAGGCCAGCTGGGCCTGGGGTGGCTTTTTGGTTACTTGTTGACTTTTAAAATAAATTAGTTTTTTTAAAAAATATTTTTGTAACTTAAAAATAACATGTTCATTGAAAAACATTTTAAATACATAATGTATAAAATTTAATGTCAAAAATCCCCCTCACTTGTCTTCCATTTCCCAGAGACAGTAAACAATGTTTAACAACTTTATTAATATGTAATTCATATACCATACAATTCACCATTTAAAGTGTACAATTCAATATTTTTTAGTATATTCATAGGGTTGTGCAACTATCACCACTATCTCATTTTAGGACATTTTTATTTCCCCAAAAAGAAACTCAGTACCTATTAGCAGTCACTCTCCATCTTCCCCCTACCCCCAACCCCATACCTTTCCTAACCCTAAGCAACCACTAATCTATTTTCTGTACCCACTGATTTGCCTTTTCTTGGACATTTTGTATAAAATGAATCATACAATATGTGTGTTGGTTTTTTTTTTAATGTCTAGCTTCTTTCACTTACCATAATGTTTTAAGGGTCACCCATGTTGCAGCATACATCAGTACTTCATTCCTTTTTATTGCTAAATAGTATTCAATTGTATGAATAAAGCACATTTTATTTATCCAATCATCAGTAACTATTTAATAAGCCTCTTGTATTTATTCAGGTTGCTTGGGGTTCAATCCCCACTCAACAAGTTCCTAGATGAGTGACTTACATTAAATCATAATCTCCCCGAACCTGCCTCAGTTCCCTCAAATATACAATGTGAATAACAATGGAATCTACCACATAGAGTGTCATGGTTGTACTGCCATAGCAATTAAAATTTGTTAAGCAATTTACCATGTGCTAGGTACTTTATGAGGATTACTTCAACACGTTTAAGATTTACACATTAGGGAACTGAGGTTAGGAGAAGTAATCTCTCCAAGGTCAAACAGCCCCTAAGAAAGTGATGGAGGTAAATGGATCACAGGCTGTCTGACCGCAACACTTGCACCATTAACTGCTAATATCACAGAATAACAAAGCGTTTAGCAAGGGCCTTGCGAAAAGAATGGGCTTAGTAAGTAACTGATAGAACATGGAGTACAAAAAAACAGAAAAAAATTAGCGAATGACTCATGCCATACAAAGACAACTGCCACAGTTAATATTTTGGCACATTTCCTTCCAGTCTTTAAGAAATACTTCAAAATACCAAAAAGTATAGAAGATAATAGACATCAACCCCACCTGTCTCCCAGGCCTGTTTTTTTTAAAGACATAAAATGTAGTAAATCAGGTGGTTCAACCTCCTACACCCTTAGGTATATTTTCCTATGCATTAATTTTCTCTAGGTCACACCACATCATTTTGTGTCTTTTAAAAATCCTATCTTGAGGCTGGATATGGTGGCTCATGCCTGTAATCCGAGCACTTTGGGAGGCTGAGGTGGGAGGATCACTTGAGGCCAGAAGTTCAAGACCAGCCTGAGCAACATAGGGAGACCCCATCTCTACACAAAATTTAAAAATTAGCTGGGCATGGTGGGCAGTGTGCCCCTGTAGTCCTTGCTGCTAGGGAGGCTAAGACAGAAGGATCCCTTGAGCCCAGGAGTTTGAGGTTGCAGTGAGCTATGATGACGCCACTGGACTCTTGCCTGGGTGACAGAGTGAGCCCTGTCTCAAAAAACAAACAAAACAACCCTATCTTGAGCACTTCCCCAAATAGGCTGCATTTCTCATGGTGCATACATTATACTGTATGGTTGAAATCTGACTATCAATTCCCCATTGTTGGGCACTTAGGCTATTTCCCAGTAAAAACATCACTATACAAGCATCTTTCTTCAGGCATTTGATAATTCCCTTCGGACAAATTCCCAGAAAGGCCCCAAGGTCAAGTCAGACAGTGAGCCTGTATTTAAAGCTCTTTATAC